ACTTCACTCTATACTAAAAACTTCATTCAGTATATATTTACTCAATATTTATCATATGACATATTATATGAGTATATGGCAGGATGAATCCTTTTTAATATAAGGTTATATACATACCAATCAGACACTGACTAGAGTTAGGACAAATACTATTGTCATCTGAAATGAGGACTAAAGACTAAACCATTTGCCTTATTGATACCAGAGCCACAATCAAATATAAAAATCTTAACCCCATGTTAAATGTTTTTTTCTACAAGCCCATTGGATCCTAAGTCATATTTAAATTTCCATTTAAAATTTTTCAAATTTATATCACAATTCTTACTTGCCTCACTTTTTAATGAAATTCCAATTACTTCAAAGATAATAAATGCTTGCTAGTTAATAAACACAAAATGTATTTCTTCATATGAATGAATATTTTATTTAAAAGTGAGTCTAAAATAACAGTCCACTATTTAGGTGGTATAAATAAAAATGGTAGATCCTTTCCTCTCTCCTCTCTTCCAAAAATTCTAAGGAAAATAATATCAAGCCAAGTGGCAATTAAGTTCAAACTAGAAATGCATTTCATTAAGCCATGTATTTATTATAAATAAATTACATTAGGCTATTTATAAAAGGTATTTTATGACTGGCTATGCACATTTCAGAAATAACTCTAAGAAGACAAAGAAAAGGCAGCACAGCTAAAATAATTTATCTTGCCAAAATGAGATGCTATGTTTAAACTGAGAGATACTATCTTTCCAAACATTTAAATACGGTCAGACGCAGTTCAAAAGATTTCTGACTATCCATTAATGGAAAACATAAACGTAACAAAATTCACAGCATACCTGAATCTTACTAATGCTCCCTAAAGATAACATATCTCTAGAATTTCACAGCCGATAGAATCAGTTCAAAATGACATATTACTGAACCTATAATGATTTATGGACTAGATCTTTTTACGACACTTTTCAAAATAGACATACTCACAGATTTTCGTAATGGTTAACTGTAGGGCTCCACATACCCTTGAGCAGGACAGTAGTTTTTTTCATAATCACCTTATTTTAATCAATTCAGCTAAGTCTAATGTTTAAAAATTCATGAAAAAAAAAATTTACTCAATAACTCTTGAAAACACAAATATAACTAAGAATGTTTCTAAAAGCAAGGATCTAAACACTTAAGAATGGTCTTGTCAATTGTTTCAAGTGAGTGACTTTGAGTTTGGTATCATTTCTTGAACAACTAAAGGCAAAATGGTCTGTTGTGCCAAGTTCTTATATAATCACTTTATCTGTTACCTGCTTTGGAAAATTCACCAGCAAATGGCCATATTTGAACTGCCTAGAAAATTTAACCAAGACATTTATCTTAAATTCAAAAGTATTGATAAGCATTCTTATTTTAAAATAATAAATAGTTGAACATAGCACCTTTTAATACATGGCAATCTTTTCTTAAAATGCCAAGTACTATATTTTATGTATTTTATAAAAAATGTGGAAGATTAATTTGTTTCTCTCTGAATGTAGATTTTCAACAAAACATCTCTTAAAACAGCAGGGACTCAACACTTAAAAATGAACTAGAACAGCAGGGTGCAGTGGCTCACGTCTGTAATCCCAGCACTTTGGGAGGCCGAGGCGCGTGGATCACCTGAGGTCAGGAGTTTGAGACCAGCCTGGCTAACATGGTGAAACCCTGTCTCAACTAAAAATAGAAAAAATTAACCGGGCGTGGTGGCGGGCTCCGGTAATCCCAGCTACTCGGGAGGCTGAGGCAGGAGAATCACTTGAACCCGGGAAGCAGAGGTTTCAGTGAGCCAAGATCATGCCATTGCACTCCAGCCTGGGGGACAAGAGCGAGACTTCCCCTCAAAAAAAAACAGTGATCCCTTCAAAGAGCAGTCTTCTTTAATTACAGGGTAGAATATTTTCTTCAATTTTGCCAGACTAGATCAGAGTGGAAGCTTCTCCTCTCAGAAGTATTCCTAAATACAAAATCCTTGCATTAATATTATCAGACAAAAAGTTATTTTCCCTAAATTACACATTCCTTTTCAATTTTGACTTCCTGGATTTAGTTCTCCATTATAGTAAATTAATGACAAAAGTATAATTTCTTTGAGTGTCCTCTCTCATCTAATTTTTAAAAAGTCTGGATTAAACACGTTTTTCTATAATCATTGTTATAACTAATGCCAATCTATTTTCTGGGTGCTAGAGTATAACCCAAAAATGGTCTGTATTTATCATTCAAATTATATTTGTAATTTTCACCTGCACACAATTTTATATTTGTAAATGTAGAATCATTACTTAAAACTCAGAGAAGCAAAATTTGACATTGAGGGGAAAGTAATTTGTTCACTTATAGCTACTTTCAAAGTTTAGAAACATAAAATTATGTTAAAAGATGAGTTCTATTCATAGTTCTAAGTTTACATGTCAAAGTTAACATGCCCAAATAATACTTTCCTGTAATGGAACGACAACCCAAAAAATACACTCAAAATAATAAACAAAATTCAAAAAGTAACACAAAATAATCCTACCCCGGCAGTTATTCCCTAATCTACAAAATAAGGTCAGACCAAATGATTTCTCAACTTTCTTTCAATGCTGACTTTTTTTTTCAAATAGATAATGCAATCAAACACTAGTCACCTTTAGCTGTATATTACCTCAGAAGTCACTTATTTTTTAACCTCTCAGTAAAGATACTGAGAGTTATTTAAAAGGTAAGATATTATCTCTTGATCCAACAATCCCACTTATGGGCATTTATCCAGAAGATTTGAAATCCGTATGTCAAAGAGAAGTCTGCACTCCACGTTCATTGCAGACAAGTCACAATAACCAAGTTATTCAATCAACCTTAAGTGTTCATCAGTGAATGAATGGATAAAGAAAATATGGCATATATACACAATAAAATACTATTCAGCCTTTAAAAAGGTAGAAATTGTGTCATTTGCAACAATATGGATGAACCTGGAGGACATTATGGTAAGTGAAGTAAGCCAAGCACAGAAACACAAATACCACATGATTTCACTTACTTGTGTAATCTAAAACAACTAAACTCAAGTAGAGAGAAGAATGATGGGTACTAGAGGCCAGGGATGTGGGAATAGGGAGATTATAATCAAAAGATACAAAGCCTCAATTAGACAGAAGGAATATGTTTGACTTTTTTAAGATCTATTATACAACACGGTGAATACAGCTAATAATTAAGCACTGTACATTTCAATACTGTTGAGAGTAAATTTCAAATGTTTTCATCACATGTCAAATATTAGCTTTATTTACTCATCCCACATTATATTCAAACATCATAACGCCACTTTGTGCCTCATAAGTGTATACAACCATAATTTGATATATAACAAAAAAAAAATTTAAAAAGGTAGTCTCCTAACAATCATTATGAGGATTATCCTAAAATGTCCTTTGGTAACTGTCATGGACTGAAAAGTATCCCAGGAAGAGACATGTCCACTCAGAACATGTGAATAAGAACTTACTTGGAACATGGGTCTTTGTAAACATAATTAAGGGGCTCCAGACACAATCATTGTAGATCAGGGTGGGCCCTACATTCAAAGACACTGTCCTCAAAAGGTAATGAAGAGAAAACAGAGGGAAAGGCTGTGTGAGCACAGAGGCAGACTGGAGTGAAGACTGCTGTCTGCAATACTTGGATAAGATTTGTCTATAAGCCAAAGAACTCCAAGAATTTCAGACAGCCACAAGATATTAGGAAACAGACATGGAACGGAGTCTTCCTTAGAGCCTCCAGAAGGAACCAACTCTGCTGACACTTTGATTTTAGATTTCTGGCCTCCAGACTGTGAGGAAAATTGTTGTAAGCAATCAAGTTTGTGGTCGTTTGTTATGGCAGCCCTGGGAAGCTAATACAATATGTATTTCAGAAAGGAAATCCCTCTTTTAAAGGATTATAATCAACAAAATTTGTCTTTGGCCATCATACATTTCATATTAGGAATCAGTGAAAGAGCTTCATCATTTCTAGATTGTAAACAATAACCAACAATTTCATGCCTAGACAGACATATATGAGTCTTTACTTTATCATTTACTATTTATGCATTTCTATTTTGACTTAGAATTAAAATTATATTTACTGAATTTGTTAAGCAACTTTTCAATCAAGAATATCACCTTACCATTTGTAAATATTTGCTAATACATTGTTATTAGGTTGGTGCAAAAGTAATCGTGGTTTTTGCCACTGAAAGTAATGGCAAAACCACAATTACTCTTGTACTAACCTAATATTTCTCTCTGAAGAGAATAAATTAGTTCCAGTAATATGAAGTATACCCAGTTTTAATAAACTTGTACATACAAAACATTCCCAAGCTTCTTGAGGGGCCAACATTATGAGAGCAATATGAAATATCTGAAAACAATTTTCCCATTATTCAGGCTTTTGAAGCAGGTCTTAAGCTTTCTCAGTTCTTTGCCACTTGATTTCTTACATATGTTTTATATATATATATAAAAAATATATGTTATATATATATTAGTGTGTATATATACACACTAATGTAATTTGAGGACCACCACTGCTCCTAAAAGAAATTCCATGATTTCTACCTATTCAGTTGTTCTTTGTAGAAATGGTCTAATTATTAAGTCCATTTTTACAGTTCAAAATATCACTGATATTACCACATAAACCTTTGAATGTCCTGACTGTTTGGCCACTGAAAAGTCTTGTTCAGAAAGAGGTAAAAAGTTATGAAATTAACAATTGCATAGCAACTCAGTTCACAAACGAGTCTGGATGTGGGAGGCAGAGGTATGTTAAGCCTATAAATGACATAAGGTAAAATGAAGTAACGAAATTCCAGCAGTTTCTGAGGAACTATAACAACGAACAAGCATATGAAAAACATTAAATTCCAAAAAACTGACTTTGATTTCAATGAGTCAGCTATACTCCAACCGCTATACTCCAACCAGCAAATATATAGGCTGGAACTAACAAATATTTCACAATTTCGTATCTTTGAAAAACTCTTTTCCACACATAGAAAGTATAATGTCTATTGTCTGCTAGCAAGTATTTATGAGCATAAGTGAATTTCCAAACTAAAAACACAGAGACTAAGGTAACCACAAAAAACAGAATTCTGCGTTTCCAAACTAAGGAAAGAAATGTCTTAATTTTGCCAGGAGACAGGAGATGAGGAAAGGAAAAGAAGAGAGTAAATGAAAAAAAGTAGAATAGTTGAGGAAAATGAAGACAGGCTTCATGACTACTCCGATCGCCAATAACAATTCCACCATTAACTACTACAAAAGCACAAAACAGAAATCCCAGAAGGATGTAGGGCCAAGTCAGACGGAAAAGCACACTCAAGTTTTTAAAGGACATGGAATAAGCCAAAAGAAACTGAAGAATTTTTCTGAATGTTGCAAATGGTCCTTTAATAGGTGGAAGTCTGTCTTCCTTCTTTTGTAGCTCAGTTTTCCAAGCCTCAGTTAACTTTTGTGCAATGACATTTCCTGCACAGAAGACAGCCCAGATGATATTCGTTTGCCGAAACATGAAGCCACAAAATCCAAGGAACGCTGAAGTTTTATGATTTCCATAAAGACACATCAAATACGCAAAAAGAGTAAAAAACATAGATCCTGCTTCTGTATAATAAAGGAAGTTAAAAAAATAAAGTGTTGGAAATACTGCTAGTGTTAATGTTGACAAGACTCTCTGGATACTTGAGGCAGCCTTGGAGGAAGAAAAAACACAGATAAAATTATTTTCATGATAAAAAATGCTATTTCTGTTTACTGAATGAAGAGATTTATTTAAAAACTACTCAACTACTCAAACCTTATTTAAATAAAATTAATATTAATCTTATCTCTGGCGTTGCAAAAGCACAATATACATTTATAAGAATACTTTCTGGTACTTTTTATTTATACCTATCAGTTTGGAGAACATGTGTGTGCCAAAGCTTCTGTAGCTTAACACATTTTGAATCAGGCAATGATTAATTAAGGAGTTACTGAGTGCAAGGTACCGACCAAGTTCTATGGGGACTATGGAGATAAATAGGACACAGTGCTGGCTCCATTTCCCTGAGCTTATGTTTTAGTGCCTTCAATAAGGATTCACTTAGCCATAATCACCACTTTCCTTTAAGGAAATCCTTCATAAATCTACACAAGGGAGGATGTAAACATGCATATGGTATTTTTACTACTATACCCAGACTTACTTTTTCAAGATGAAATTTTCATGATGAAGTAACAGGTATTTTTCTGAAAAGTGAGCCAGTCTAAAGTTCTATATCCTCTTTTGGCCTTTCTGACGTGCTATTTCAGAATTTGAAAGTGTTCTTATGTTCTTGAATTGTATACTCTACTTAATCAAAATCACCAAATCAGATCATGCCATTTCCTTGACTAAAATTAAGGTCTCTCCATTACATGCTTAAGTTCAAAGTCCTCTCGGTGACATATAAAGGCATTCATGACCTTTTTCTCTAGTCTTACATCCCTCTACTTTCTAATCCTGTAATTCCAAGACCAATTCCCTGCACCTCATTGTTCAATGCCTTTCTTCCTTTGCTTATGCTGTTTGTCTCCTCAGGATTAATTCTCCACCCTACAGCCCTATCCGTTCATCAAGACTCAGCTCTGGTACCATCTTCTCTGTGTGGACTTACTGAATGCACCTAGTCCCCTCCCTCCCAGAAAAGCAATAAGTGTTCCCCTGCTCCTTCTCTGTATCCTCACAGCATCTTATTTGTACCACTCTATCATAATTGGCACTACTAAAATCATCTCTTATGGTTAAAAATAATCATTAGAGTTAATATTTACTGAGCCCTTACTATGTATCTGGCACTATTTGAAGCATCTTCCATTTATTAAGTTTCTTTGTTCCTTTATAACAGTTCTATAAGGCAGATTCTATTATTATTCTTATTTAATAGATGAAGATATGGAGCCACTAAGCGTTAACTTGCCCATGGTGGTAACAAAACTGCTAAGTGGCAGGGAGAGAATTCTAACCCAGGCAATCTACCTCCAGGGCCTGCACTGTTATCACATCAAAAGTCCTCAGGTAAAGTGTTTTCCCTAATGAACATATACGTTTTACAAAAAAAAGACTGCCTCATTTATCTCTGTTGTCCCAGTGCCTAGCACATGGAATAAGCTTAGTAAGTAGTTATTGAACTGGTTTGACTCACTTAACAAATATTTACTTTAGATTTTACAAATAAGCTATTCAAGTGTTTAAATACAAATTTATTCTAAAATGGAGACAGAGGATTTATGTTTACTTTTACATAATATACAAAAATACAAAGTTACAAAGTGTTAAAGACATTTTTCACCAAATCTCATAAAACTAATTCATTGTAATTGTGGACCTGACTACACATAAACTTGTAATTAAGTATTTTGAAACATACCTTGTTTCTGGGTTGTACCTTGCGGAAAAGCAAATATAGTAAATAGAAGTTGCCAACACTGAAGAGAAGATTAACAAATCTGAGCATCCCAATGGAGCAGACAACATGTTCCGACCATCCAAAGATCCAAATGGCAGGTTTGACCACTCCAACTGACACCAGGTACAAGCCAGGTAATGTAGTAATCATGGGATCCCACTTTAAAATGAAAGGAAATGAAGTAAAAGCAAGAGGTAATACGAACAAGACAGACACAAACATGTCAAGCCCACGTCTCATCTCTAGCAACAATCAGAAATTTTGAGAAGTTATTCTGACAAGATTATGTAAGTCCTTGGCAAAACAGGATTCATTTTTCTTAGTTTTTGCCCCCGGACCAGCTTAGTGATTGTTCAGATAGCAGCAACCAACAGACAACAACAACTTAAAATCTATTTCTATTTTCCAAGAAATGTTCTTTAAAAAGTCTTTATTTTGGTAAATAAGCTGCAAATGCTTCAGTTTTTAAAAGCATGGAAACACTGGTTGGGACTCTTAAGTTTAGGAAAACATTTGGTCCACAGGCTCCATGATGACAGCTAACATAAACGGAGACAGAAATTGTGCCAAACCCTCTGTATTAACGTTACAATATGCCTTATAGTAAAGATTATTGTCATTTTGCAGATAGGTAACCTGAATTTCTGAAACTCAGAACATCTCCAAGATCACAAAAGTAGTAAATCACAGCACCATGATTTAAGATCAGATCTTTCTCTAAAACAGACTTTATATTTCTAGCCAGTACCCTATATTGTGTCACCAGAAAAGCAGGCGATGTTTATTTTGATATTTATATGTACATACTTGCACAGTCAAATATATATTCAAAAATGATGTGACTGGACTGGTTGCCAGTTTATCCAGTTAACAGATGGTTCACTAAAAATACTCAGGGAAGGAATTTCTGATTATAAATGGTCACTTTTTGGTAGCTGAAGATCCCTCCAGTCCATACTATCCCACCCCTAAAATGCATAGTGAGGTGCTTGACAGGTGAGCTAAAGGTAAGTTTTCTGGTATTTCCAAGGAGCACCGCAATGCCTTTACTCCCGAGACAAGGAAAGACAAAGTGGGATAGACATCGTCAGCTGCCAACAGGAGCGCTCAGTTCCCCATTAAGTATTCTCCCAGATCATTCCTTCCTGGGAGACAGATCTACTGTTTATTCATTCATTTAATAAATATTTCACAGATCTCAAAGACAGGAACAAAATTCTATACCCAGTTTCTTTCATGTTCTGGGGCTGGTGGGGTGGAACGGGACGAGTTAAGTCTAAGGATGGGAGAAGGAGCTGGGGACGCTGGGACCTCTCAGGCCTCTCCTGGGGTGGGGACAGGTTGGCGACCCCACCTGGGAAAGGGAGAAATGGCCCTCACAGTAGCGTTGCGCCTGAGGCAGGTGGAAGATCTCATCCATGTAGGGCTCTCGCAGCGCCCGGCTGAAGGCGGAGAAGAGGAGGCAAGACACTAAAAAGGTACAGCTCAAGGCAGCCGAGAAATAGTAACCCTCTAGCTGCGCCATTCCTGCTCCCACAGCCGCTGCCGAAGAACCCACTCCTGGAAACTCCTGAACCCGGAAACCCGAGCTGGAAACTTGGGCTCGAAATGGGCGCGCTAGACGGGACTAGCCAGACGGGGCCACATACCGGAAGGCAAAGGATGCTGGGAAAGCGCGGATCCGGAAAGATCGGGTCGCTGTTTCCCGGAGTGACGGGTTTAGATAACGGACCGGATGATTAGCCTGTCAATCACATTGCCCGGCCGCACAGAGTGTTAAAACTTCCGGAAAGGGCGGGTCTCGGAATTTGCCTAAGCGCGCGGTGCGTGACTTGCTGCTTTGGAAAAAAAAAAAAAAAAAAAAGCCGATTCTCAGCTTGGATCTTTTTTCCTGCTCATTTCCATCACTTACCAGAAGGTGGCGACGTTTCCCCACGTCTCCAATTCCAAGCCCTAAAATTTACACATTTCCCCCCCGTTACTTCTGTTCTTTTTATTAAACCCTCAATTCCACGAGTTTTCATTCCATCAACTTTGGAGTGTAGGAAGGGGGCGTTGGTTGTGATAGCAAAGACTGAGACTTTCAGATGAAAACTTGAAGAACCAGAGACCCGTCAATGCCGAATGAACTTAAGTGAGAGGAGTGTTTGTTCGTTTGTTTGTTTAGGTTAAAAGAGAACTCTTTCAAAATGTGGATGCCCTCACAGGATTTAGTTAAACTGACATTCCTAAGGCACTCTCATAGCCATATCTCAGTACCCTGTGGGATTTGAAAAAAAATATATATATATATATATATATTTAAAATATATATAAAATAAAAAAAATATATATATATATTTAAAATATATATAAAATAAAAAATATATATATATATTTAAAATATATATAAAATAAAAAATATATATATATATTAGAATTTGGGATGTTTTAGAATTCTCTGTGCCTGTAATATCTGTAAGGCAGTGTTCTGTTTTTCCTACTAAATCATAAGCGTGAACATCTTAGTGGGATTATACATCCTTTACGTTTGTAGTCCCCCAATGGCTTTCACACAGTAGGCACTTCAATTTGTGGACTTTTATAGGCTATATAGACATCATCAAATTCCTGTATTCTGGGATTAAGTGTTGGGGACAGGAGATGAGGTAAATAATTTGAAGAATGCCGAAGATAAATTATGTGTTGTAATTTTGTCTTGAGCATGGTTGGCCATGTTTTGCAGAAAAACTGTCTCTCAGGTAACCTCAGTCACGTTGCCTTTGGCAGGAATATATCAGAATTGAGTCAGGATTTAAGGTTGCTAACCTCAGAGTTCTTAATTGAGCTCTTTTTCTGGGTCAAAACTAATTCAGTCTTTCTGAACTTAAGAAAGTTTCTTAAATTAAGCTGACTGCCTTTCCATTCTGTCTCTGCCTGTTTCCTCAATGATAAGAGGAGGTAGTGGTGAATGAGGGCTAGGATGGGAACATTTACATTACTGGAATAAAATCATGTCAGGATCCTACTCTGATGTGATGCTTAGCTTTGTTTTAACCATTATCTCCCATTTTATTATTGAGTCCATGCTGTACTTACTGTTGAAGTCACTTGTAACACATCTCCAGATGATTCGGTCTTCAAGAGGTTGATGTGATCTACAAGTAATTAGCCCCTGACCTGTTGACCTGCTAAATCGTGTTATATATACACTCTGCAGCTTACTGACCCACCCTAGAAAAGTGGGTAGTTTTTAAAGGGAGTATAACAAGACTAGACATTTATGCTATCCATTTTTCTTCATAACAATTGCCACCAATAGTTTATGTTAAACATTTGACTCCTATACATGCTGCACACATCCCTTTATATAAAACGGAAAGTTTCAAGGAAATATGGGGTTTTAGAATTGCTAGGAATCTTTGTTAATAATCTGCTTGAATTCATTTTGTAAAAGAAGCTGTTTTTTTAAAAAATGAAGTATTTACTTAAAATTACATAAAAAATTAGTGTCAGAATCAAGTGTAGGAATTAGAACATCAGACCAAGAGTAATACAATAACTTCATAGCCTTATAGTTTAAAATAATCTACAATGCATACTGTACTGAATGTTTCACTGGTCGCAATAACTTTACATTTACGTTCCACTCTCCTCTGTTTCCATACACCAAGTTGAAATATGAGTTTCATCTTTTAAAAAAAAGTTGATCTTACAGACTAATTACATGAAAATTTGCTGGGGGATCATTGTGAATAACTAGATTCTAGAGTGCCATCTCAAATCACTGAATAATAATCTTCATATTTGGAAACCATTGATGTAAAACATATTACCTAAGAATGCTAAGAAGCTCCATGGGCCCAGTAGAGTTCTTCGTAGCGTACTTCACTCATTTGTTAGTGAATTGCTTTTACTATCTGCAAATCAATGAAGTTGTTGTCGCTTTTCTACTCTTAGATTATCACATCTTTGATAATTTTGAAATGCTTTCCAAAGCTCTGCTCCTAAATCAAGACCTATTAAAATAGCTACCTCTGTGGTTTTAATGAAATAGATTACATTTTATTAGACTTATCATTTAAAACTAGCTCAGCATTAATTTCAACTTATATTTTCCATTCAGAATTCCAAATCCCATTTTCCGTAGATATTTATTTTGTGAAAAAGAGTCATTAGGATAAGCAATCCCATTATCATTGAACATCAACTATTTATTTGTGCTACTTGAATTATGATAAGTTATGGCAGAAAAATGGGCAATTTCTGTTGGGGTTCTAAGGATAGGTGGTTTTAGCAAGAAATAAATGTTTTTTGGTTTATAAGCCATTAAGATTTTGACTTTATTTCTCCTGTATAACCTAACTTACTTTGATCAATTAAGACATTCTTAATTTGATGAACTCACATAACATTGCATATACTTAACTGTTTGAAACAGCCGTATCTGAACAGTGAATTTCCCCAAAGACCGTAACTGTAATAACTTTGAAGTATTAGTCCACAAAACATGCTGCCTCTTATTGCACCCCTTTTCACTTGTTGCTGAATGAAAACATTGGCCACTTGCTAATCATAGTGATGGTTTACTCATTTCTAGGTGACAATTCGTTCGTTCTAGCTACAGCAGAGTACTGCACCCTGGGCCAAAATCACAGATGATAACCTCTAAAATGCAACTCTACCCTTGAGGTCAATCTTAACATATCAATCTAAAATCTAAATTTTAAAATTAATGAATCAATTAAAAAAACACACACAGTTTAGTACAAAAGCATTAGCAAGTATTTTAGCTCTACTGAAAATGTCTTGAAGACATTGTGTAAGGGGCTGGTTAAATGTAAGTAACACACACACAGAGACTCTTCTAAAAGACAATAATATTTATTTGGAATTGAGCATTAGAGTAAGAATACAATGAACATAGGGAGGTAAAAGAAGACAAGGGATTTTAAAAGAAAAATGAAGAGGGTTACAAGACAATTATCCTTGGTTATAAGGACTGGTAACAAGGGCGGCACCAGTTGGAGGTTTCACAGGCAGTTGCTGGGCAAATGTCCTCGCAGAAGTAATTTTTTGTGAGATTGTGGCAGCCTTTGTGCAATGTTGTGATTTGTGCAGTCTTTTGTTGTAGTTCTTGTTATCAGGCATACATGAATATAAACCCTCCCTTTCTGATCTTCCTTAGCTCCATTTTTCAGGGTTTTTATGCAAGTGGCCCCATTTTGATTCTGATAGCTTTCATAGAACAAATCTTTCTGATTTGTGACAGACTTTCCAGTTTTACCCTTAAAAGCCTCAGGCCAGGTAAATTCTGTAGTCTCAGACAAAGAGAGATGGTTGGTGATACGGTTTGGCTGTGCCCCAACCCAAAATCTCAGCTTGAATTATAATCCCCATAATCTCCATGATCCCCACGTATCAACGGAGAGACCAGATGGAGGTAATTGAATCCTTGGGGCAGTTTCCCCCATGCTGTTCTCATGATAGTGAGTGAGTTCTTATCTGATGATATTACAAGTGTTTAATAGTTCCTCCTGCATTCATTCTCCTTCCTGCCATCTTATAAAGAAGGTGCCTTGCTTCTCTTCACCTTCAGCCATGATTGTAAGTTTCCTAGGCCTCCCCAGCCATGCTGAACTGTGAGTCAGTTAAACCTCTTTCCTTTATTAATTACCTAGTCTCCAGCAGTTCTTTATGGCAGTGTGGAAGAGGACTAATACACTTGGTCATTTAGAAAGATACACCATACAACCCAAAGCAAAATTTCCTAAATATTTTTTATAACAGTAGTTCTTAAAGTGTGGCCCCTGTACCACAGCATTAGTATCACCTGGGAACCTGTTAGAAGTGCACATAATTAAGTCTTGCCTTAGACCTACTGAAAAAAAAAATTCTGATAGCAGAGGGAGCCAAGTAATACGTGTTTTAACATTCATTTTGTAATCAGTTATGATTCCCTTAGATTCCCAGGTGGACCTGATGGATATGAAAGTTTGAGAATACTGCTGTCCTCTACATTTCCCTTGCTTTTCTGATCACTCATGCTGCTGTGTCCCCTGGCTTCTCCGATTCTTCATCTCCAGGCTTCACCCTACCAAGAAACAAAGTTCATTGCCAATGAACATATGTTCCTCCTCAGCAGCTGAAGAGGAGCTTAAATACTTACAATGTAATGATTTTTAGTTACATATATTTATATTCAGATGGATGTCTTCTCTTTCAAAAAACTGTGTGAAGGGGAACTGTGCTTTATGCTAAAATAAGTAGCTGAAACACCATAGTCCTACAGCCATTACTGCCAGTTCAGTAAGAAACATTCCAGGGAAAGAAACTTCATGAACTCCTTTTCCTTTAAACTACATAAAATTTAAGAGAATCATAAATTGATTATTAAATGAATTGGGCTGCAATACCGATGAAATTACAGTACTATTAAATCAACCAAAGTAAAAAGTTAGAAGAGAAGACATTGAATTAATTTTACTTCTTAAATAATTTTACAGTTTAAGAGACACAGTACTATGATCTTACTAATTTTAAAATTTCATACGTTAGAGTGAGATTTATGATACAATTGTTATTACTGAAAAGAGAGTGCATGTGAAATATCGAGGAGGGTTTCTGGTTAATTCCCTTTTGGCTTTAGAAGCAGAGTAAAACAAGTGGGCATCCTTAGGCTGGG